ATAGATAGATAGATGATAGATAGATAGATAGATAGATAGATAGATAGATAGATAGATAGATAGATAGATAGATAGATAGATAGATATGGATGGAGATTGTGTGTGTGTCCATCCATCCCACTTCGCCCATCTCACCTGATTGTCTCCGGATGGTTCACAACAGCATAGACGGGATGGATGAAGTTGACCTTGACTTCTTTTGAGTTGAAGTCCACCGATCTTCCAGTGGCCGAAGTTGACCCGCACTGCCTCGCTCATCTCTCCCGTCCTCTGGCAGCCAGAGGGAAGAACCAGATGATCACGTCATCTGTCACCGGCCCCTCAATCTGGACGAAACCCGGTCCCTTTTCAGATGTATGGACATTGCCGGCCGGAGAGTTCTGGAAGTCCACCCATCTTCAAGGGGGCCTCTTTCAAGGTCCAGCATCTACCTTAACGTTTGGTAGATCCCCAAAGGTTCCTCCTTCCCTGGTGCCACGAAGCCTGGAATTTCCTGGAAACCCCCCCTTTTTTTAACCACCATTCCAGGGGTAAAGTCGGCTGCTCCCTAATCTGTCTGTATAAATTGTTAGGGTTCGTTTGTATTTTCAACCTGATTTGACAAATTTTGCTATCCTTTTTCCTTTCTTTCTCTCTCTCTCTCTCTAGGACTTCTTCCCCCTCTCTGAAAAATAATAATTATAATTGCCAATCAATTTCATACGATCTCCAGATTTATGTGCGAAAGCGAATTCCTCCCGTTCCTCCCGTTGAATGGTCTTGTTCTAGATCTGTCTCCTCCAGGAAGCTCCTTTGTCCTTCTTCCTTTTTCTTCTCCTCCCGCTGTCCTTCCCTCCTTCCTTCTCCCATCGTCCACCAATCAGTCTGTCCAACTACTCGGCTCACAGAGTAAAGTATCTATTGTTTTCAGGTCCAAATTGTCCCCAAGCCAGCTTCAGGCAACAAAACTCAGCCATCGACCAGCCCCAAGCCCGGCCGGGGCGGTACCAATGTGAGTAGAACCACTAGACTTGGCCAAGTGACTTTCGATGTTATGGAGTTTCTACCTTCTCCCAGTGTTACAAGACCTCCTTGGCCACGTGACACTTGATGTTATGGAGTTTCTACCTTCTCCCAGTGTCACANTATCTATCTATCTATCTATCTATCTATCTATCTATCTATCTATCTATCTATCTATCTATCTATCTATCTATCTATCTATCTATCTCAGTTCAACACCTACCCACCCATCTCACCCAAGTGTTCTCTGCACGATTTTCAATAAGACAGAGAGAAGGATGAAGTTAGGAGATATGTTCGAAAACTGTAAACTTACCCCAGAAAACTGGAATGCGTGTGAAAGAACATCAAGATAGTTCCAGCTTGATGCTCTTTGGCATAGTTGGGAAGGAGTTAGTGGCTTTCCCACCCAGTCTGGCTCTCCAAATTCAGTCTGAACAACTTATATCCGTAGATTTGAGTGTGGGGGTCTGTTTCAAGACCTGGTCTATTTCAAAAGGGGGCGGGAGTTTGTGATGACGGGGATCCGCAAAGAGAAGATCACCTCAGGGTGCCTAAGTAGAGAATGTTGCTGTTTTTCCAAGGCTGGCTTCTGTTTAAGAAGGGAGCCGTGATTTAGGAGAATTTGTGGGGGCAGGCATGGCGGAAGAAGAGGCTTGCCTGCCTTAAGCCTTGGAGTAAGGAATCCATCAAACCACAAATGGTGGACTTTTTGAGAGCCTACCTTGGTGTAGAAACCCACCCAGGTTCAGGGCTGCTAAATTGTATTCTGGTATCCCACCAGTTCTGTGCCCTGGAGAATTCGGTTCCACCACAGGACTTCTTTGGAGACGAGCCCTTGTTGACGTCCACGAGGGTGGACTTCAACAAGATCTTGAGATCCCATCTGGTTGACCAGAATTGGGGCCAGGCCTGGTTCATTTCACTCAACCTCCTTTCCAATTCCTTGACGTGCCCCAGGGGCAATAGCAGAGGAAGCTACTGACCTCTTGAAGGGTCCAGGTTTTACAAGTTGGTGGGGGGAGGTGATCTTCTGCCCACTGGAATAGATGCCGATGACGAGAAGACCCC